TAATCATGATAACAAATGTTAAAATGTACCTACAAATCGCCTCCCTTCTGTTCCCAGTGGTGTGTGAGAGCGTCTACAACGCGCCTCAGTATCAGGGTGAATTTCATTTGAAATTCTTTGGAATGCTGTCTGACAACTACTCTCAAACCATCTTTTCGTCTGAAGGAAAATCACAGATTGGAACTTTAGCAAAATGTTCCAAGTTTTGCGTAAATGACAAGCGGTGTATAGGAATAGAACTATGTCAGATCAGAGACGATTGGTTCCAATGTCGAGTTTGCTGTGAGTGGAAGAAAATAGGTTCCAATTACTACGATGACCAGCCGAAATGTAAATACTTAGAAATGGTGAGTATATGCATTTCAATCACAATAAAGACTAATTGTCATGTATCAGGGGTAAACACTGACATAGTATTAAAGCAATGTTATCAAATTAGAATAAAACTTCAGCCTTAAAAAATCATAACACTTTCTTAAAAGTATCGAATTATTTTTGGAAAGGTAACAAATACAAAATGAACAAATTTCAATACTTTGCTAGTCTTCTTCCAGTAACATTTATGATACTTTTTTTCAAACAGGAAAATGAAGACGAGAAAAACGGTAAGTCGTCAATAATTACAAAAGTTAACTTAAACAAAAAGGGATATTAAATATTATGTTGTGGTAGATAAATACTTACATGCGGTCTTTTGTATATCATTCATGGTTTGGTAAATATGCAGGAGCAACTATTTCCACGATTTTCATATGTACCCTTTTATTTAGATACACACAATAAAGTGTGCTGCCAGGAAGTTTGTGTCAATCACAAAATAGTATGTGTTTTGTTTTTGTTTTCGTTTGTTTGTTTTTGTTTTTTGTTTGTTTGTTTTTTTTTTTATAGAATTTTGTCAGTTATACTATTTGTAAATATGTAAATATTCTGTGAGAAGGAAGCAGATTCGTACGTTAGCACATAACGAATTTATTGTGTTGATGGTATGTTCTTAATTTTTGTTTTCGTACTTTGTTATGAATTCTATATGTTTTATAATACTGATTTTAAACAAAAAATATTTCTAGGGTTGTGGCCAGATAAATTTCATCTATACTAGTTTTTAGCACATACATATCAACTCATTATCAATCCATTTCTTTTTATGTTTAGCTTTTTAGTACTTTTACGGAGTTTTTCTTAAGATAAATTTAGTTTTAGTGACATAATGGCAGCATCTTCCAGAGAATGTTTTAATAACATTAATAACATATCAGCAGTCTCGTTTAAAGTAATCATTTCGTAAGTTCTATGGTCGATGCAATGACCTTGTCAGCAAATACAATTTATCATTGAGTCAAATGCTGACTGACGTTATTATCTATACTATTTTCTCTAACAGCAAATCATTTTGAGAAAAAAAATTCCATGGCAACAGAAAGGACAGTCATATAATGTAGAAATAAAATCTGTTGCTTCAAAAAACAAAATACTTTGAACAATTTCTTCAACATTCATAAATTGGTTTGCAATACAAATGTCTACTAAATGTTCTTGTTCTTATCTATTATCCATGCAAGTGTCCCTAAAGACTGTTGAAAATATCATTATCAAACTTATATGCTTCAAAGAAGGGTAATTATTGATTGTTATCATTAAACATACACATGTATATTTAGCAGCCCTTCCTGTTCTAGCATTAAATACGGGTAAATATTGACTGTTATCATTTAAAATACACATGTATATTCAGCAGCCCTCCGTGTTCTCGCATTAAAATCGGGTAAATATTGATTGTTATCATTAAGATTAGATATTAATTTGTATACTACATTTGCGTGTTACAATGCATTTTTGACAATATAAAATATAAAAGTTTGGCACAAAAAAAAGAATTAAAATAAAATATCGGAAATCGAAAGACATGAATATAATTCGACACATTACGTTTGTATACCAAGGATAACCCATGAAAGCCAATGGCTTATTTCCAGTGGGGTCCTTATGCGCATACATTTAAATTGATGTTAAATAAAATGAACATAAAAATATAAAGATTAAAGCTAAGATGTGGGATCGAGTTGACAACACACAGATCCTTAAAAATGAATTGTAGTATGTATATATACCAAATCTTTACATGGTTGTAATCTAGACAACTAATAATAAGAAGAAACTAATGAAACACAACTTGACTTTTACATTGGGCAATTTCCCTTTCTACTAAAAATTTCTTGACATTTCATTTAAAAGCAACTTATTTCCAGTATTTAAAACAGGTTTAATGTCTGCTGTTCCAATCTTTGATTCCATTAAAATAGAAAGATTTAGACCGTTTATGCTTAATTAATGGTAAAACAAAATCTGCATTTGAGGTTGATCTTGTATGATAACTACTAAAATTTGACCGACGTAAAAATGTTCGTTAAGATAGGAAGGGGATTTTCCTTGAAAAATATTAAAAATATGGTTGAGTCTAAGTTGAAAGACTCTATTTTTAATAAATTTCATTGATCAAGTATTTTATAATTCACAGATGCCTGTGAACCTAAATTTAAAATAAATCGAACCATCTTGTTTTGACAAATTTGTAACTTTTTCTTTAAAGTTTTGGAAAGCCCTGCATACCAAGCACTACAGGCGTAATCAATATGACATTGTATTAATGCTGAACACAGAGTCATTTTACAAAAAGTATCTTAAAAACGGGCTTGTCGGTACAGAAATCGCAATCTATTATTTACTTTCTAAACAATCGATTCAACAATGCATTCACCACTTAAACATTTGTCAATCAAAACTTCAAGATATTTAACTTTTCCTTTACAATCAATATTATGTTACATGTAATTACATACAACTTCAAATTTTTCAACATTTTGAAGCTTTCTTTTTGAACCAAATAAAATGCATTCAGTTTTACCTAAATGTAACGATAATTTATTATCTACAAGCCAATGCGAAGTCTGGTCTAAAACTTTACTAAGCTTTTCTGATATAAAATCAGGATCTTTATATGCAAATAAAATAACACTGTCATCAGCGTATAAAATAAGTTTACAATCTGTGTCAACACTAGTGACTTTGTCAGTAACGTAAATTAAAAATAATATTGGGCGTTTACGTCAGGCGTTTATGTAAATTATCACACAAGCCAATCGATTGACAATAAATAAATAGATTATTACGTAGTACGTATGAAAATATCTTCTTTTCTGCCTCTCAAATTATTATAGAATAATAAATTTTGTTATACATTTACATAATCAAAAACTTTTCAAATGTTAGTTTAATTAATATAAAGGCACTTAAGTTTCTTACCATATAAATATGATTTTCAAACAAACAAAAACTATATTAGCTTTTATAAGCTTTCAATCTGAGTACAGATTTGAGCAAAAAATATGTATTTTTTTTTCTTTCTTACTAAATAATCAAAACTTTTTGGTTTTGTATCATTTTGTATCTATATGTGAAAACTTTACCATATGTGAAAATGAGAAAAATTTTAACTATACGAAGCATATGAAAATAAGAAATATATCCCAAACATTTAAGAAAAGTAGAGAAAATTCGAATTATCTAATATCCATTTTAGCTAAATTACTGCTATGTCAAATTGGAAATCTCATCTTATAGGCCTTTTATGGTAGAATTTTTATGTAAAAAGAAAAACTTCCAAAGTTTTGAAATTCAAGTAAGGATTGCATAATTGGCAAGTAAATTTTTTTTAATGTTCAGGAACAATGTAATGACCTTGACCAAACCTTGTCTCTTATATAAAACGGTCAAATTTAATTTGATTTTTAATATTGCCTTCTTGATTCTGTCTTAAATACAAGAAACAGATAAGAATCCTACATTAAAATATTAAAAGGAAAACGATTAAGTTTTATACTTTCTTATTCAAAAATATCTTATTGTGTATACTGTTTTTTAATTCAGTGGCAGTGGCGGCCGTTTTAAGCAGTCTTTTCGGTCCCCAATTTAAAGCAGCATTAGCAGTAGATGGTGTGACAGAATGCGAAGGTGCATTTCCTCACAGTAAGGCTGAATTCAGTCCATGGTTAAGAATTGATCTGGCCAATATAACCAATGTATCAAAAGTACTCGTATAAAACAGACGAAATTGTTGTGGTGAGTTTTTTTCTCTTTAATACGTAGTTCATTCAGTATTGTATATGAGGAAATCACAAAAAGAAATGAAATAACATCTGCGCGTATACACGGTATATATTCTTTCTCAATCCCCCTCTCTTTATTTCTCTTTCTCTCTCGTTTTTTTAAGAAATTATCTAAAAATGACCAGTTACAAACTTCAGCGGCTGTTCAAATGAAACATATGGAGATATCAAACAGTATTCAAGATCAAAAGTCCTTGAATTAATACAAAATAGGAGTAGAGCAAACACAGATCTCTAAAACATCAGAGGAAGGATCAGGTGCCATGGAGGATTGAGCCTCTCTTGTTATATGCTCCTTGGAAATAACGGTAAATTCCGTCGTCTATTCTATATTTAAATAATGGGCTAACAATTAGAATGAAAATCGTGTCGGCATTTGACTTAATGATAAATTGTATTACTGACAAAGTCAGAGTATCAATCATAGAAATTACAAAATGATGGCCGGTCGGCAGGGGATGCTCACTCCTCCATGGCACCTGATCCCACCTCTGATGTTTCGGAGGTCTGTGTTTGCTCTGCTCCTATTTTGTATTGTTTTATGGACTTTGATATTGAATACTGTTAGTTATCTCCATATCCTCCATACATTTCATACACCATTTGAAATCACATTCCACTCATTGATACTTAACATTCCATTCAACCAAGTCGGCTTTTATCTGCCTTAGTTCATATTTCACCTGATTAAACCATGCATCGAAAATCTATTGCTTTGACACAAAATATAAACCTCTGTATTTTGAAAATAAAGAAGATCGTCTTTCAAAAGTTTATGCCAAAATTTACAATTATTGATTTTTTTTTTCAAAATTCGTTTTCTTGTACTTTTTGTAGGAGAGCGATTCCACGATGTTTCTGTGAATGTAAACGAACCAGAAAGTGTGAGAAATTTTTCTTGTGGCTTCTTTCCTGGACCAGCCGTAAATGGAGATCGCATCCTGTTTCTTTGTGAGAATGGTGCTGTTGGTGAAAGTGTCACAATTATGATGAATTATAGAAATGGAAAAAAGAGTTATCTTCATGTGTGTGAAGTAGAAGTTTTCGGGAAACGTTAACACTGCTTCAATCACATGACTCTGGTTTTCATACCCAGGTAGAACGATAATAAAAAATGTGGAAAGGATATATCTATGAAGATCAACATAAATAACTATAGACATGTTTGTTCAGAATATTTTCAAGTGCATCAACGATGTTAAAAGCAAATTAAAAGCAAACTTTATTCGTATAGACCTTCGTATAATTGACGTTATAAGAAGAATGAATTTATCCACAATATAATTGAAAGATTTAACAGCTCAAAGAATAAGTAAACATACTGTTCGTTTTTTGAAGTAAAGTAAAATGAACATTCTGCAAATAAATACATTGTCACAAATGGCTCATACTCAAAAGATGAACTTTTTGAATTTTAGAATAAATTTTCTTTTTTTAGTATTTTCATCACAAATTTTCTCTGGAACGAAGAAGTCTTTTTGACAAAGGTTTGGTTCTTTTAAACTAGGTGATTTAAGGTCCTCATTATGAACTATGATTACGTTACAAGAAATTATATGTTCAGCAAAACGATAATTGTAGGGTGAAGAAGAACATGAACATATTGGAGAATTACATGTTTCAGATGTCCAATTTCTATCCACTAAAGAGGGGTGTTCGTAGTGAAAGATATAGGAAGCAAAGTTCGATGCATATGTGTAAGAAATACAAGGTGTGAATGATTTTCAATTTGAAATATGGTGACACACTACCACCTACGCCGTGTAATTCCTGCAAATATACATTGACTTTTCCAAGTTTTTCAATTACAAAAAGAAAAAAAACGTTACATTGCCTGGATATCCAGTTTCTGAAACATTATCCTCCATCGTGTTCATGTACTTCTTCACCCTATAACTATAGTCCTGCTTGACACGTTAGCGTTAGTATGTGTTTCTCAAAATCATATGTAAGTTTTGAATATTTTAAATTATCCTAAAGAACCAAAATGAGACTGCTGATATTCCTTTTTCATCAACTTGCTTGTCAATAATTAACCTCGTTTTAGAAATTGTTCATGCTCATGCTCTTGCGTGTCTCTTGCGTATGGAGAAATGTATGTGGGACAATCTCTGAATACTGGAGGTCATGCATAAGGAAAAAAATCCTCATATCTATTTTAAGATTCCTGCATTTTTCATGAACTACAAATATTCTTTTACCTGTATGGTTTTGATAGAAAACATTTAATATAATCATTCCCCAATTTCTTGACTCTACACTTGATCCTTTTCTTTAATAAAATATTTTCTTATTGCAAAAAGAAAGAAAAAAAATGTTGGTAGTACATGTAAATACTTTCACATACAAATATTTTAATACATATATACAATAAGGCACACTTCTTATGACTGATGATACAATCTTCTAGCATCTGGAATACTTTGATCAAATAAATGATAATTCTAAAAATCCAGCTTCATATTGACATCACATTTGTAGTTAACAGAGTATTAGGTATAACAAACAGACTAAAAAATATATTTTAATTTAATGGAAGAGACAGATTTCTTTAAATAATCTTGTTTGAAACTTTAAACGTACACATTAATTATTGATGCATGATAATTACCTTTGAAAAATTAAGAAGAACGATGATGTAACTGAAAAATAAACAGAGTCAAACTTTCCTTTCGAACCCAATTATAATTATGTTCCCCAAACGGAGTTTGGGAACATATTGTTTTTACTCGGTTTCTTATTATTATGTTCCCCAAACGAAGTTGGGGAACATATTGTTTTTACTCTGTTTCTTATTATTATTATTATTATTATGTTCCCCAAACGGAGTTTGGGAACATATTGTTTTTACTCTGTTTCTTATTATTATTATTTTTTTTTTTCTTATTTCTTCCCCGGTACTTTTTTTGTCCGCGAGTGTTCTCAGAAACTGTTCACCCAACTGAGCTAAAACCTTTTTAGGGTTAATAGGTGTGTAGTGTAGGTGTGCGGAACGAAGGTCATTTTGCGCGCATACGCATGCACGTGCGTGCGCGTGAAATGAGTGAATTGACTGATATATTTAATATGGATGTAACTTCTATATTTTTTGATGAAATGTTTTGAAACTCATTATATAAGGATATATAAGATGTATAGATATGATGACATGGTCAAATTTGCATGAACTCACGCGCATGCACGTGCGCTTTGCTCTGATTGGCTGAAACAAAAACCTCAATATCTTTTTTGTTTTTCGATGAAATGCTTTGAAATTTATAACATAGTCATACATTAGGATACCCTACAATATGATATATAAAAATTTTCGTGAAATCACGTGCATGCACGTGCCCTGCAATCTGATTGGCTGAAACTTTAAATGACTATTACTCCCTTGGTTTCCAACCAAACATGATGGGATTTAGGACATAGAAAGACATAAAGGACTCCTACAAGATGGTATGGTCAACATTTACATGCATGCACGTGCGTGCACGTGCGCTTTGCTTTGATTGGCTGAAACAAAAATCTCAATATCTTTTCTGTTTTCTGACAAAATGCTTTGAAATTTAAACCATGGGCATACTTTAAGAAGTCGTACAACGTGATATATAATAATTGTCATGAAAACACGCGCATGCACGTGCGCTGCAATCTGATTGGCTTAAACTTTAAATGGCTATAACTCCCTTGTTTTTCAACCAAACAAGATGGGATGAAGAACATAGACAGGCATAATGGACTCCTACAAGAAGGTACAGTCATCATGCACGTGCGTGTACGTGCAATGAGTAAAATAGTGTAGACAAGATGATATAGTCATTACGCTCATGCAATGTTGTTTAAATCTTAAATGCATAGATTATGCCTATTTTAATGAAACTTACAGGAATATGGCACGAAAAGGGAATTGGGGAGCGTTTGGGGAACATCTGTAACGGTTCCCGTTACAATTAGCACTAGTTATTATTATTATTAATCTTTTTTCTTCTTATTTCTTCTCCGGTACTTTTTTGTCCGGAAGTGTTCTCAGAAACTGTTCACCAAACTAAGTTAAAACCTTTTTAGGGTTAGTAGGCATGTTGTGTAGATGTGCCGAACGAAGGTCATTTTGCGCGCATTCGCATGCACGTGCGGGCGCGTGCAATGAGTAAACTGACTGATATATTTAATATGGTTGTAACTTTTATATTTTTTGATAAAATGTTTTGAAACTCATTATATAAAGATATATAAGTTGTGTAGATAAGATGACATGGTAAAATTTGCATGAACTCACGCGCATGCACGTGCGCTTTGCTCTGATTGGCTGAAACAGAAATCTTAATATCTTTTTTGTTTTATGATGAAATGCTTTGAAATTTATAACATAGACATGTATTAGGATGTTCTACAATATGATATATAAAATATTTCATGAAATCACGCGCATGCACGTGCGCTGCAATCTGATTGGCTGAAACTTTAAATGACTATAACTCCCTTGGTTTTCAACCAAACAGCGTGGGATTTAGGACATAGATAGACATAAAAGACTCCTACAAGATGGTGTGGTCACCATTCACATGCATGCACGTGCGTGCACGTGCGCTTTGCTCTGATTGGCTGAAACAAAAATCTCAATATCTTTTCTGTTTTTTTTTACAAAATGCTTTGAAATTTAAAACATAGGCATACTTTAAGATGTCCTACAATAAGATATATAATAATTGTCATGAAAACACGCGCATGCACGTGCGCTGCAATCTGATTGGCTTAAACTGTAAATGGCTATAACTACCTTGTTTTTCAACCAAACAGGATGGGATTAAGAACATAGACAGACATAATGGACTCCTACAAGAAGGTATGGCCATCATGCACATGCGTGCACGTGCATATGAGTAAAATAGTGTAGACAAGATGATATCGTCAATACGCTCATGCAATCACATGCGCACGCCTGCATTGCATAAATTTGAAATTCTTGGTATACTTTTGGGAAAACGTTATTTACGTCTTAAATGCATAGATTTTGCCTTCTTTAATGAAAATTACAGGGAATATGGCACGAGAAGGGAGTTGGGGAGCGTTTGGGGAACATCTGTAACGGTTCCCGTTACAATTAGCACTAGTTATGTTCCCCAAACGAAGTTGGGGAACATATTGTTTTTACTCTGTTTCTTATTATGTTCCCCAAACGAAGTTGGGGAACATATTGTTTTTACTCTGTTTCTTATTATTAAGGTCTTCCGTCTTCAGCGGAAGACCTTCTTGTTTTTCTTAGGTTTCTTTTTCACTTTTATTATTATTATTATTATTCTTTTTTTTCTTACCGATTTTGTGCACGCGATTTCTCGAAAACGTCTCGATGGATTTCAACGAAACTTTCAGGACTTATGTAGCATTACTTGAACCTTATTGATTTGATGACGTCACTTCCGGTTCGGAAATATTGTCGATTTTATGATTTTTGAAGGGTCAGATTGTCTCCAGACTTTCTCAATAATGGCTCTAGATAGAAAGATCCAACTTTCAGGTTTGATAGACGAAAGTCTGTAGATATGCGTAACGTATTTCTTTTTTTCCGGAAGTGCAGTACGTCGGCGCTCGTTACGGTCCGAAGAATGTCACCTCGCAAATTTCAAAAATTCTAACATCTTTTCTACGATATCGTTTTACCTGGAAATATTTTGCCAAAACATATAGAACAAAAGAAGTGTAGAATTCAAAGATCTTTCAAATAATATCTCGAAAAAAGGGCTGGCCCCTAAATTTAAGGGCCTAGAGGGGCCGAAAGTTTTTCCTTTATATCTCAAAAAGTATTGGGAATTTGTAATTCATCTAAGAAGCAAAGTTGTTCAAAATGTCAAGGAGAATCTACATGCGTCATCAAAATGCGTCCGGCGACGTCACTTCCGATCAAACCGGAAGTAGTCGGAAAACGCGTATTTTTGCCGTTCTTGACAAGTTTTGGGGTAACATCTGTCTCTGTGAGCATAAAAATTAATTTTCCGTCCGTCGTCGTCACTTCCGGCCAAACCGGAAGTAGCGCAAAATGGCTTATTATTGCATTATTAACATAGATTTGGACGATTTAAACAATTTTTGGATGTATTTAGTAATTTTTTTAATGAAAGTCACTTCCGGTTACGTTACTTCCGGTCAAACAGGACGGAAGACCTACTCGTTGCTTTGCAACGAGCTTTGCTCTAGTTATTATTATTATTATTATTCCTGGGAAAATTTTGTCCACGAGTGATCTTGTAAACTACACATCCGACTAAGGTAAAATGTTTTTAGGGTCAGTAGACATGTTATGTAGATTTGCCCAACGAAGGTCATTTTGCGCGCACGTGCTTGCAACAGCGCGCACGTGCAACACGAGAAATGACCAATTTCATGGATATTGCTATAACTTTTC